ACCAGTGTAAATGCAAGCTAAAGCCTAGGTGTAAATGTCTGGAAAGAACAATGTCATGAAAAACATACATGTCCAGGGATATTAGTACCTGGAGTTTTAATCTATATTTTTATGGGTGGACCCATTATATGGGAGACATTTTAACCTCATAAAAGGTTGTTGGATTTTGATGGTTCTTGGTTCGAATCTAGCTCAATCCGGCATTTTTATTTTTAAATTGACCACTATGTTTTACAATATACCTGTGTATTAGGACACAATATAATATATTTCTCAAGGAAAAATCGTTTAATATCTTCAAAAAGAATTGAAAAGATAAATATTTCAACTTTCATACTAATTTTGAGTATAAGCACGATTTTACAATAAAATATAAGGTTGCATCATTCATAAACATTTCTCATAATTCTGAAACAATTACGTTTCCATTTTTTTCCGTTCTTATTGTTATTCATTTTTTTACATAAGAATTATAGATATACATGTATTGTTTATTATAAGAAACAATGTTGAATGTATAAAACAGTATGAATAATTTCCTTGTCTGGTAAACGCTTTGTTCTTTTTTTTTCTTAAAAATATTTAAAGGGAAGTTATGTATTAATTGTTATTTTGTATTTATCTAATTTCAGTCTATTTTTTATATTTCTTAAGTTCATGGACATTGATGTTTTTTGTTGTTGTTGTTTTATTTGGGATATGTTTATTTATCAGCTTGATAATGAAATTATAGAGACCCAGTGTATGCTCAGTTTAAGCATATGCAAGTGATGTACTAAAGACTGGACCTACTTCACGATTTCAACTTCATGAATACGCAATTTCAACTATTATTATATGAATTCATGCTTCACGAAAACACGATTCAGCTTCATGAATCCACGGTCCCTACTTCATGAATTCACCTTTGAACTTCGCTTCAACTTCACGAATTTACCTTCGTGCGTTCAAATTCAACTTAAAAATTCAACAGCATGAATTCATGATTTAAGCTTAATCAATTCTTGAAGTCATAAAATGAAAACTTGAATAAGTGAAGAGGAAATCGTGAATTTATGGAGCTGAAATCGTAATAAACGTCAATATGTGAATTTGTCGTCATGAATTAAGTTTTAACGTTACGAATTTAACTGAGAGTTTCAAACACTTTGTTTCCATAATTCACGATTTCAACTGCACGAATTTTTTTCATCGTAAATTCCGAAGATTTCAAACGCATTAATTCATGATCCTGAAATCGTGAATTTGTGAAGCTGAAATCTTGAATTCATGATGTTGAAATGACATCACCGATCTTTCATAGTAATAAGACCATTATTCATGCGAAAGCTGTGTGTTATACAGGAATTCCATTTCAATCATAAGAAGCAAACAAATACTTATGTAGGACCTAATAAACTCCAGTTTTTCGCCCTGATATAAGTATAATAATGACTACAATTCTGCTCATTATTTATGTTTATACACACTGGAGAGCTTGCTATTCTAATGTAAATGTTCATGCTGGGATTTTTCTATACAAGTGTGAATCTTTTTATCGCATTTATTCAAAAGAAACTGGATATATTTTATTTTTACTTTTTGCACTATTGTAAAGGCTAAGAGCTTGTATATTACTGCGTACATAAATAAGAGATTTGTTTAATATTGTCAATAATATGTAAAGAAAAGTGTTGAGCTATAGTTTTACAAATTTGGTTCACGCATATAGTGGAATAAAGACGGTTCAAGATACGGTGCGTACTTTTCTCTTTCAAAGTATATTTCTTAACTAACTTTCAATATATTTCTGTTTATAGGCCCCAACTCATTTATGTAAAAATATCAAATGTTATGTTTTTAGGCTATTGAACCTCAGTGGAGTCTTCTTAAAAGTATACATGTCTATTTCGGCTTATTTAATTGCACGTGTAATTTCCATTTCGACTTATTAAACGTATATATTTCTTTTTTGGCTCAAAGAACGTATTAATTTCTACTTGTAAATATAAAATAATTGGTTAGTTTATATCAAACGTCACGTGTCAGATCAGCTGACGCGAGTGCTTATGTACGTCGTAAAATAATGACGTCAACAGCATTCTATTTTTAAATCGTGCATAACTAGTCACCGATTACATTTTTATATTTAATAATCAGAATGCTAAATATATTTATATGTGGCAACGATAAATCAACTAAGCTATATAAAATGAGAAAATATATCGGCGTCTTTAATTCTCGTCACGTCACAATGATTTATTATAAACATGTTCATTTTGGAACGAATTTGCATAGTTCTAGATATGAATCTTGTTTATAGTTTTTCCAACATTTATTCTGAGCTGTTTCCAGCCATCTTGTTGCTAATTATGTTGTTTGTTTGGGGTTTAGCACGATCATTTTCTGACAGTAGTGACGAGAGACGTGCGTAAAATAACCTGGGAAAATAAAACTTCAAACATGTTTAATTACCCCAAAGAGCAATTAACTACAGGAAACAGTATTGATTCCGTTTGAATATGTTCTTTTTTCTGTTGTTTTTTTTTTTTTTTTTTTTTTTTTGCTTTTTTTCTATTATTTCTTTGATTTTCAAAGCTGCGCCAGGAGTAGAATAATTGTATATGAATATCTAGTTTAAATCATGAAAAAAATGGCTACTGATTGTTTGTTGTTTTGTTATTGGAATCATTATAGTTGGTTATTAGCACGTGTGTATAATTTATTAATCTTATTCAGGTATGAAGATGATGCAATTCGAATTCGCTGTAGAAAATAGTGCTTTAATTATTATGTCACGTTGGGTCCAATGTATTTAATATAAATTTAATAACATTTAAGTAAAATTTTAATAAAATTTAATTAGATTTATTAAAATTTGATAAAATTTTAATTTAAAAACGTAAGTACGTTTATATTTATACAGCTCCATGGTACGTTGAAAGTTCGATTGGCGATTTTATTTATCTCGATATTTTCATAAATAAAACACGTTCAAAACCATATATATAAATAAACACTAGTTATTAACGTAATTTAATCTAGACCACGACTTAAGGAGTGATTAAGTATAACGGAAGTAATTTTTGCATCATAAGAAATGTATTTGATGTCAGATAATAATTTTATATTTGTACAGTATAGGGTGTACTCTAAGAGCATACACTTATTTCCCACTTTATTTTAAAGTACGTACTTGTGTTAAGCGGGTTATTTTTATAAATAAAATGAGGCTATATTGTTGTTTATTTTATTGTATTTCGTGCATTATATAGCTAGGATAGCGGAGGTGGTCTATATAAACGGACCAAAGTGGTCGTTGAATCACTCTTAAATGATTTTATTTTTGGTGTGGTTCGTGTTCACGAAAAATAACTGAGAGAAGAAAGAAAAATGGCTTTATAAGTGGTTAGATTTGTTTTGGTGGAATATTGTCCCAGTGGGCTGTTGTCGAAGTGGGTCATTGTCGTAGTGAGCTATTGACTTTGTCCTGGTGGGCTGGTGTCGTTGTGAGCTATTGACTTTGTCCCAGTTGGCTTTTGTTGTAGTGGGTCATTGACTTTGTCCAATGGGCTATTGTCTTATCGGGCTATTGACTTTGCCCCAATGAGCTCTTGTCGTTACTTGGGCTATTGACTTTGTCCCAGGGGGCTATTGTCGTAGTGAGCTATTGACACTGCCACAGGTGTGTGCTGTTGTCGTAGTGGGCTATTGACTATGTCCTAGTAGGCTTTTGTTGTAGTGGGTTATTGACTTTGTCCAAATGAACGATTGTCTTTTTAGGCTATTGAATTTACCCCAAATGCGCTCTAGTCTTAGTGGGCTATTGAATTTATCCCAATGGGCTATTTTTGTGGTGGGCTATTTTCCCAGTGGACTATAATGTTGTTGTCGTGAGCTAAATTGACTTTGTCCCAGTGAGTTTTTTGCCTGCGATAGCGTAGCTGTATTTTGAGAATTGAGTACCGCTCTGAGAATTGAATACCGCTCAAGCCAGTGCTAATGGGCGTGAGGGATGAACATTGCACTTATTCATTATACCTCATGTACAGACTCAATCAAACCAAGTCTGCAATTTCATGTAATTTTGTTATGATTAATGCTTCCGAGGGATCACTTTGTTTCCATATTTCATTCTGCACCTTGTGCTTACATCTAATTAATGGAAGAGCCAATTAAGTTTTAAGGCAGAACAGATATATATCAATGTTTGACATTGACAGCTGTCCAACAAATCAATAAATAACTTTAGCAATTATATTTTATTTAAAGTATTCCATGTCTTTGAATATGCTTACTGTTCTAATACAAGAGGAAATTTGAAATATGTAAATTATATTTGGTAATACTATCGGGAATGGATAGCTGAAAAGTTACAAATAGTTACTCCCCTTTGAAAAATACTGGTATTATACCATTTAAAGAGTTTTGAGGAAGTTGCTCGCCTTCGAAACTAATACCGACATCTGTGGGGGAGCACCGTAAGTCTTAGAATTTATTGCAGTTAAATTTCTTTAAATATTTAATGCTATTTCCGATTAGTTTAACGCTTAACCTGCTAATGGCACCTGGTTATTCCCAGTGCTGACCAAGATAATCAACCAGTAGGCAGTAGTCTTCATGTTTTAAATGTTCCACATATGATAGAGGCCAGAATCACCCAGGTATCATACAGGTTAGCCTAATTAATTTGGCGTGAACGGTTTGATCCATTTTACAGACTTTTTTTTCTTACTGTCAAACCGTTGGAAAAAGACAGCCCCCGTCCAAAATTATCTCGGTGTCTCTTTGACAAGTCTAATTAGTTGGACTACATGGTTCATTCTATAATGTTTGCCATTTTCAGAGTACAGAACAAAAATAAAATAAAGTAATATTTTGTCATCAAATCCTTTTGAAATTGAAAGTTAAACTTTTCAGTGACCTTTTTATATATATTTCCGTTCATAAACATTATTAGTTTTAAATTACACAGCTTTAACATTAACTAGTTGGTTGACCTTGTCATTACCAAAACATTTTTTAAAACCGATTTGTGTAGAAATATTTAGATATAAATGCCGAACAATAAGGATCATATTTAAAACAACTACATTAAGTATTACAATAATCACTTTCTTTATTCATAACCCATATAGTTATATATTTACAACAAGGTTTTCATGTTGTGTCATTACCGCAACTTTAAACAGTTAGATAATTAGTTTGTATTTACAAATTTCGCTACTATGGACTTAAAATAAAATCCTTAAGTTCCCTGATACTTAAGAGTTAAATAGCTTAGTTTTCTGAAGACATCTTTGACTAATTTGTGAAAAATAACCAAAAACAATGATGTTGTGGAAGTGACATCAATGTTTCGGAAATGACAAAAATATGGCATCAGAAATAAAGAAATAAAATCAATGAGGAAACTAGTTATTTGATTTGTATATATGTTTAAAATGTAAAAAAATATAACTACTTTAAAACTCACTATGTTTTATTAACTTATTAAATCATGAACAAAACAATTCATCAATTTTTAAACGTTATAAACGGTCATTCACACATCAACTTTCTTTTAGTTTTAGTTTCCAGAAATCTTGACTTATAAGTTCATTTTAAGCACAATTGCATCCCAGACTCTTTTGTCTATCGCACGGTGTCTACTTGTAACAAGTTCTGGTTCGCCCTCCAGCATAGTAACCATCTTGTTGTGGCCATACCAAATAACATCAGGAACCATTGGCCAGAAAAAACGATTGGTGCCAATCCGGTGTATAGCAGGCACCTCCAAACTTGTATCATCAACATCCAGTATCTTTCCAGGATATGGGCAACTGTCATAACTGACAACACAATATCTGTCAACTAGCGACTCATCAAATGATGCTGGCAGTTGAAGTATGTTCTCCTGTTTAAATACATTTATAAGAAATTAAATATGTTAGAATTTTTTACTTTATCATCAAAGTGAAATGCCATGCATATTCAAATTGAAGTAGCAAATTTTTAATCAGAATAAAATTGTATGGTAAAAAGTATTTCTTTCTATTTTAGATCCAGTACAGTACGGCGATGTTTTTTATTTTTCATTTAAATTTTCTATTTTAACGTAATCTTTAAACAATGAACAAGTTTAACTATGTTTTAAATTATTATTTGAAAGAATATGACTCATACCTGTACCGGTGAATTATCTTCATTGTTCTGTGGATGCGCTGTATTATCAGGGTTCTTAAATTATAAATATTGTCATTTAGTATATATATATAAAGCAAATGTGACTCCATCATTATGATAAATTATTTATTGATTGTAATGTCATTGAATTAAATTTACATTAAACTTAGAAGAGATGTTTTTATGTCTTCAAAAAAAAAGACCAAATTAAATAGCACCATAAAATGTTGTTTTTTTCTCGTTTTTTTTTTTTTAAATTCAATGCTCTAAATTATGCCGTAAAAAATGTTGAGCATGTCTATTGACCAATTATTAAAATTAAATTGATATGACATTCAAATAAATTCCATTTTACCTGGAGACAGAATGTTGTTGTTACTGGGTCAAAACAAGTACAATTATCCCGACAGAAACAACTCAGTGGTCTTGATGCTATACAACCAGTATCTTTAATGACAACCTGTATAAAACATCATTGGTTATCAACAAGAAGACAAATGGAAATTGTTGTAATGTCCGTTTATTAATGAACAATAATTAATAGAAATTAAATCAAGTGCGTTCATACAATGAAGTAAGAATAAAACACGACTAGTGTTCAGCACAAGATATAAATTTATTCTGTAAACCCTTAACATGTGATCTTAGATATTAACTAGAAAATACTGATCATGCACAAACAAGCATTATACGTACAAAGGTCAGTTCAAGTTCATCATGTGTGATGATACTACAGAAGTTATCTTTAAAAGTTATTTCTTGTAATTTATTATCATAAACATTTGTAAAATTTTGTAAATAAAGATACTTTTGACACTTTCGGTTTTTTTGTTTATTTGTATTTTTAACATATTTCAGGTCATATTACATGTATCATTCAAAAATTCATAAAAATGCCATTCTTAAAGTACCTGGTGGATTTTCATTGTATCTCGAACAGAAATAATAGTAGAAGGAATCTTGCGCTCTATATTTGTTATGTCTTCATCTTTTACTTCAAAAGCCGAAACACTTGTTTTCAACATCAACAGTCCTGAAAATGTAAAGTTTCATGTGTATTACTAATGATGATAAATCGCTAGTACATGTAATTGACAAAAAAAAAGGAATTTAATGTGGACATTATCTAAAAATACGACGTTCTTTTGATTTTTTTTCTTCTTTATGTTTCTTTTTATACATATAAAAAAACTGTTACTGAATAAAAATAAATTATAGTCTTATATTCTTACTAGTATTTTTACTTTGCATAATAATGAATGTCAATTATAATATGCAGTGCATATTGTTATATATAAATGTCATTTGTTCTCAAGTTAATTTACCTTCAATAAGATCGGCAGAGCATGTGATGTCTCGTCTGTACGTATTTACCAGAGTATCAGCCGCTCTTTTAACTACCGCTCCTATCCCATCAGGAGCACCCTTTCCGTGCCCTGCCTCCATGAAGTTCCACGAACCACCTTCAGGGATATAAAGTTCTTTTGGTTTTGTTGAAAATAGATAGAAATTTGCTCTACAGCGATGTTGCGTAGTTGGTCCATCTGATATGACATGTAGTTTATTGATCAAAGGATACTTCTCTTTGATAAACTTAATTGGCGGTTCTAAGTGAGCCCAAATGGCAGCTGGACCATGGCTAAGATTGTCAGATATTGTGACAAATGGAAGTGTTGTATCATGCACATATGCAACGCCTGTGTGTATCGAGATTTGTTTTTTAGAAAGCCCGAAATGGACACTTTGAATTTCTTCTTGATATTTACATTGATAGTTTTCAGAAAAATCGACATGTAAAATAAGTTCATTTTCTTTGCATGTCTCTTTAAGTTTTTTCAGCATGATAAATTGATGGTTGATATTAAATTGGTGTCTTGCTAGCCTTTCTATGTCCAATTGGAGGTCATCAACAAGTGTTGTCAGTGTCCCAGATTCATTTTCTTTAAGTGTAACATTATGCTTTGAAAGTACAGTTTCTCCATTACTGCATTTTTCTTTTTCTATTCTTCTTGACTTCCATATTTTCCAGTTCACTATTTTACCTGGGTTTATACCGTCACTTCCGATGGCAGATTTAATATGTAGATCTTTGCATCGAGAACATTCTCTGTACATACAAGCTTTGTTTTTCATATCGCATGTTATATCTTGGATAAGTTTTGCAAGATCTTTATGCTGTAGTACATTTTCACTGTACAGCTTGTTTACTTTAAGGGTCGGATTTTCATGCACTTTGCACAAACAGGTTTGACGGTCTTTTTCAGATGCTTGAATGATCCAAAAAGGCTTCATTTTCGCAAATAGACTGTAGCTTATTTTAGATTTACTTTCAAAAATGAATTTCTGATGCAAATTTTTCAAGGAATCATTCAGAAGTCGAATTTGTTTTTTTATTTTCTGTCTCGTTTTTGTACATCGTTTCCCAGCTTTAATCCTTGTGTTGTCATCCCTTTCAAAGAAGGCAGTAATCTTTGTTTTCAGAGCACATTTAATTCGGCGGTATGGTTTTTCTCTCTGTCGTATCCTTGTTTCTGTTATTCCAGTTTCCTTTGCAGCATATGAACCTATCTTATATTTCTTCAGCACCGTTTCTCTGAATATCAGTTTTTTTACAATGCGCTTCTCTTGTGTATTTGTACCTGAATATCTCTGCTTCATGTTTCTTACAAGAAGAAAATAAAGAGATAATGCACGTGTAGTCGTCTGCTTCTGTTTCATAACATGTTCTTCCTTTTGTTCAATTTCATCCTTGTTTGATTTGATTAATCTGAAATAGCGTTTCTTATATTTGTTCTTCAGCCTTCGTTCCTTATTAAGCATTATTCGAAGTTTAAATTGATCCCTGTAAGCTTTTGATCTGTTACGGTTCTTCTTTTTTCGCCCACTCAACCTGTTGCGTTCATGAATTCTATTTGGCTGTTCTGGGAAGAAATGATCTGGTGATGTTGGTGGCGTAATTGTTTCTCCCATGGCTTTTTTTATCCGTTTATCTTTTTCACGTTTTGACCTTTGATTTTCCTTCCAGTGACGTCTCTGTTTTCGTTGGTCTCTGTCTGACATCTCATTGATAGTTTTTAATTCACCTGTTTTTTTTCTCTTTTGATATCTTTCTCTCTCCCGTTGTTTGTAGAGTTCGTGCTTTGTGGGATCCTCCTTCTGTCTTTTTCGCCACAATGCTGATCTTTCTTTGCTTGTGAGAGGCATTCCTGTAACTGTTTCCGAAATAAATGTCGCTGTTCTTTCTTTACTTCTAATGTATCTCTGAGTTCAATGATACTGTCATGAAAAGAATCTGAGACCTCCAGCCTACTGACTTCAAGAAGATATTTTTCTGTCTTTGCAATAAAATTGTCGAGATTATTGATAAGTTCTTTTACATGAATGATGCTTTGGTCTATATCTGAAATGAAAGATTGTTCAATATTTTAATATGTCATCACCGAAACGGGACTTAGTATATATCTTGTCACTATTTGTTGCTAAACAAATCCAAAAAGAAGTGTTTAGTTCACAACAAGATAACTGTTCATTTCGTGAATTTTGAAATAAGATTTAATCAACCTTCACATCTACAAAATATCGGTCTGTTATAAAGATCTACAAAGGTTATATGTTATAATATTAGTTTCTTCATATTATTGATTTTTTTTATCCTTTTAATGTAGCTCAAGATATTTTCATTGAAAGACAAGTGCATTTACAGATTTTTTAAGGTAATGTTTCTTTAAAATATTTGTTTTCTTTAAAAAGTCTCGAAAATTCATTCAAAAGAAAACAAATGTCATTACCGAAACAATAACGTCATTACCGCAATATTTTGTCCGTTTCGGAAATGACAGTTTCGGTAATGACATTATCCTATAAAATGATAAAAAGCGTCTATATGATCAGCATATGTTATGTTAAATTAGTACCAAGGCATCATTTAAGTATATGTTATGTTTTTGTCTCTGACAAATTAGATTTTACACAAAAACAAATTTCAGAATTGGCATTAGGAAATGACTATGCAAAAACATACGGCCAAATAAAGTAAACTTACCCGCAGCGTTGTGTAGTTCTTCCATTTGTTGGAGAGAAATGGCCGCGTTTAAAATTTCGCGCCGTACACAACTTTTAATGACGTAATCAACTGTTTATGTTATATTGTTTATTACTCGGATTTCAGTATTATACGGGGAAGTTTCGGAAATGACATAGAACTTGGTGACAAAATTTTCAAGTAAAATTTTGATTTTGCTGACTGATATAATGTTTAATAAATAAATTGTAATTAATGTACTATAATTTAATTTAATGTTATGAATATGTTTTTATGAATGTAAAAGAATATTTGAAAATAAATTAATTACATATAATTATCTCCGCCTCGGGTGACAATTGTATAAATGATAACAGGCAATGCAAAATTCATGATTTTTTTTAATAAATGAAGTGACATTTTTCTTTATCAGGAAATTAAAAAAATTATGTATGATTTATATCATATATGTAATTTTCTTAATTTATTTCAAATAAATGACTGAAAACTGACATTTTCATGTGGGTGACAAGAATTTGGCAAACATTATAGAATGAACCACATACAGGTTAGCGCAACAAATTGTGCGCCAGGGTTTTTTTTTATTATATAGCCGATGGTAGTACTGCACTGTACTGTTTCTTTTTTTGAATGAATGATTGACAGTAACAATGAACCAAGTATAAATTTATGTTTGCTGTTGCAACATTAAATAAGGGCTGAGATAATCTTTAAAAAATAGGTTAATGTAGGGTCCTTTGGTTTCAAATACCCTAGTTATTGCCTTCTTGTGTTTTTTAATTATCATGTAATACTGTAATCCAATTATACTATGTTATTATGGTAAATGTAAAATCTTTTTTATGTAACAAATAACTTTGCAATCATATAACCCTCTGGTAAATTTTTAAGATTAATTTTCCCTCCCTAAGGCCAATATAATTTAATTGTCAGATTCTTATCGCAAGAAATGTAGATTATACTAGGCTGTTAAAATATTTACATGTTTTTACAAGTTTGATTAAATCATTCAACATAAATTATGATGGAAAACAGGTGCGAGGGGGAAGCAACTGAAAATTCCAGTTTAAATGGAGAAAAATTATATGTACTGTATATAATTATTCATTAGACTTTAAAAAAAAAATTGAGGTATTGTGACAGCCATGTCAGTAACTTTGTATAAACATGTGCTTTCAGTTCTATTTTCCAATTCCAGTGATACAATTAGTTTTCATGCACCTTTATGCAGTTCTGTTGGTACATGAATCTCAGCATTTATATATTTTAATTTTGAAATCCAAAAATTTTGAATGGACTGTTACAAATTCAAAGCTGGACAGATACATTAAACAAATTCAGCAGTTTATGATGGTTGATTAAAGTTAATATTACATTAGTGTAAAAGGTTAATTAATTACAATTGTTATACACAAGCAAGCCGGTGGAATGGTGTTATAATAAAAGATTAAGGGGCTGGGTTAAGAGTGTTTCAGTAAGAAGATTAGTGGTATAACAGGAAAAGGTTAAGCTTACTAGCTTGATCTATGATTAAATGGGGATTAGGATAAGGAAAATTTATTTGTTGGTTCTGAGACATTTAAAAAGTGGTTCTGTTATTAAGTTTTCTTGGTGAGATAAATGAGTCTACCTCCACTCAAACAAAAGATTTTTGGACATGAAACTTTCTTGTTAATTTGCCTTTAGTTGTCTGTTGCCTGACCTCAGCAGAGCCTTTTGTTAAGTCAGATACACAACACTGTTCAAGGCCATATGAAATATACATTATTACAGGCGCAACAGGCACAAATAGAACCACAGACATATACCATAGTAAACTAGCATGTAAGAAAGAAAGAATTAAAAGGGTTCAAACTTCTAACTGCTAGTAGCATGTTTTAATTAAGTCGGCCACCTTTTTGCAAACTTACTGATATTTGAACTTTACCTCTTGACAAACTAACTGATATTTGAACTTCACCACTTGGCAAACTTACTGATATTTGAACTTTACCTCTTGGCAAACTTATTGATATTTGAACTTCACCAATTGGCAAATTTACTGATGTTTGAACTTTACCACTTGGTAAACTTACTGATATTTGAACTTTACCGCTTGGAAAACTTACTTATGTTTACACTTTATCGCTTGGCAAATTTACTGATGTTTGAACTTTACCACTTGGAAAACTTACTGATATTTGACTTACCACTTGGAAAACATACTGATATTTGAACTTCACCACTTGGCAAACTTACTGATGTTTACACTTTACCACTTGGTAAAACTTACTGATATTTGAACTTTACCACTTGGCAAACTAACTGATATTTGAACTTCACCACTTGGCAAACTAACTGATATTTACACTTTACCACTTGGCAAACTAACTGATATTTGAACTTCACCACTTGGCATACACTTTACCTCTTGGCAAACTAACTGATATTTGAACTTCACCACTTGGCAAACTTACTGATGTTTACACTTTACCACTTGGCAAACTAACTGCTATTTGAACTTCACCACTTGGCAAACTGACTGATATTTGAACTTTACCACTTGGTAAACTTACTGCTATTTGAACTTCACCATTTGGCAAACTTACTGATATTTGAACTTTACCACTTGGTAAACTTACTGCTATTTGAACTCTACCACTTGGTTAACTTACTGATATTTGAACTTAACTACTTGGAAAACTTACTGATGTTTACACTTTACCACTTGGCAAACTAACTGATATTTGAACTTTACCACTTGGTAAACTTACTTATATTTGAACTTCACCACTTGGTAAACTTACTGATATTTGAACTTCACCACTTGGCAAACTTACTGATGTTTACACTTTACCACTTGGCAAACTAACTGCTATTTGAACTTCACCACTTGGTTAACTTACTGATATTTGAACTCTACCACTTGGTTAACTTACTGATATTTGAACTTTACTACTTGGAAAACTTACTAATATTTGAACTTTACCACTTGGCAAACTTATTGATATTTGAACTTTTCCACTTGGCAAACTACCGTATAAGTACTTATTTCTGCGGGCTTAAAATGTGATTTTGGTTAAAATAAGGGGTTTTAAATTTCTGCGTATCTTATTTCTGCGGTATCATCATTATCGCATTAATGTTTTTTTTATTTCTGCGTTTCAATTCAGATATTTTTACAAAATTAACCTATACAAAGAGACAACATTTCAAGATTTGTTGATGTAACATGTACATTACTTCTGGTAAACATGCAGACGACTTCACTGCGGCCTTTCCTTGTTGATCTTGTTTATCATATTTTATAATGTGTGTTCATCGTAATCTCCATGTATCGGTTTAATGTAAATAAACAAAAATCAACAACGGCAATGACAACAATTAATTGTAATACTGCATGTATATAAATATGAAGTGTGAAAAATAAACAATCGTAAAATCGCACGTAGACACAATATATTGTACAAATACAAAAAGGGTATGTTTATTGCACCCGTCAAAGAATAATAGTTTTATTTTAAAGTAAATCAAACTTACGATGAGTGCAAATCATACAAACATGATATTTTTTAAACAAAATGAACAAGTAAAGTAACTTTTTTTCTTATAGTTTATTCACATAACTGACGGATTCATAAAGAAAAATTCCCATCTACAAAAG